TTTAATAAGCAGTGTGTTATTATGATGATATAATGCCCATCTTAACACTGAGAGATAAAACAGAAGTAGCAACGAAATATCAACACCATTTCTGTTAGAGAAGAGCTAAAACATTTCTTCATTACTCTTTGTCTTAGTTTCCCAGTGCATTAGGTAGTAACACCATACTCTTCAGAAGACTGACAGTAAAGGTTTCTCTTATGTAAGGCATATTTTCTTAATGAAAAAAACAAATCTCGGGTAAATTTCAGTATAATATCATGGCTATAAAAAATAAGGCTTGGACTTTTTTGACACTGAATCAAGTCATGGCTGTTGTTTAGTGCCATGCTTGATGTGAAAGTGTTAACAATTGGTGAACACATACAACAAATGTCTAGTAAAGCATGAAGGCAAAATGCAAAAGTAAGCATAATACGAACCCCAGATTTCTTTCTGGAAGAAATTATGCTGTGAATGCAATAGTATCTCACACAAAATCATGTTCCATATATTCTTTTTGACAAAATATACTTCCATCTCCACAGGCTGCAAAGGAATAAAATGGCAAAACACATTCACGGATATTGCAGTCAGAAGACAAAGATCTCCTGGGCGTGCACTAACTCTTACTAAATTTAATGGAACAATAGACTATTAAAATTTGTTATAACAGAATTTGCCACTAATGATAAAAACAACATTAGTTGATCTAATTATATTTAGGGGGCAAATATAACTTGTGTGTCCATACAAGATTGCATGAAAGATGACTGAAGTTCTTTGCAGTTTCATCATCAGGTTTTGCACTGCTTAGTCAGGCACAGTAGGATTGCTGGTCCTGGCAGTCACATGCAATATTGAAGCTGCTCCACCTGTGTCCTGGGTGCTCTCTCACTGGCAGAAGCTAGACAAAAAAATAAGCTGGTTTGACTTCAATCATTTTCAAATAATAGGTCCTTGTAAGCTTGTCTGGACACAATCCTGTGCAATGTGCTCTAAGACAATCCTGCTTGAGCAGGGAAGTTGTACCAAATGACCCCCTGTGGTCCCTTCCAATCTTACCCATTCTGTGATTCTGTGATTCTGTGAATCAGAGACCAAGAAGTGATTGGAGATGTGAGGGGCGAGCGGTCATTACCTGAGAATGAAAATTCTCTTGAGCTGAAAATGTGAAATTAGTTTATTTCTAGATCAAAAAAAAAAAGCAATGTTTATGCTTTGAGAATTGGTGACTATGACCTTTGAGATAATGTGCCTTCTCCCTTCTTTCCCCAGGTCACAAAGTGGTACCTGACCTCAGCATGCCATTTCAATCATGGTGAAGAGGAAAGCTATTCCATCACTATAACTCTGCATCAGCAAATTTCATGCTACACCTCTTGCTAGCTGTTCTCTCCCCAGCAGGTACCAAGGTGCAGAACCATCATAAGCAGCATCCTCTGAGCAGTGGATAAATTATTATGTCACCACAACTAGTCTCGACCAGCACAGATCTTCTGACTGCCCTGACCTGTGCTTGTGAGCCTGCAGCACTGTGCATTCCATTGTGCTCCCATCTCTGATTGTATGAGGGATAAATTCTTGTAAAATTAAATTTGCATTGCCCGAGACCTGGAGATGACACTTGCCGGCGGCTTGTTAGCCACAAGAGGGAGTCTGTATTACTGGGAAGGAGAAGACGAAGTCATTTGAGGTCAAATTGTTTCTTCAGATTAAACTGCCTCTGGCCTTTATTCAGCCAAAACTACAATACATACCAATGGCCACGGCTGACGAGTATGGCATTTTTGCAAGACTAGTGAATACAGAACTTCCAGCTTCAGTTAATGTCAAAGAAAAAGTAAGACTACCGAGCTGTGACAAACTGTTGCTTTGGAGCCAGTATTTTCCAGGGCAGCCAAAAAAGAAATACTGTTCTTTACTGTCAGTATCTAATCTAGGTGTGTGATGCTGTGTGCAAGAACAAAACCCCTAAAGCCTGCTGCTCTACCATTCCCATTTTTTCTTAAAAATGGGGCTAGTATCTAAAATGCATTATTAAAGCATTTGATATTCCTTTCCTCTTTCTCAGGAACTTTGGCATGACAACAGTTCAGCACAGGAAGACTGAGAAAACTGTATGTGTACAAATGATAAGTGTGATCCAGCCAACTGCAGAAATAAACCTGAGGATTGTACTCCACTCAGCCAGTTAAACAAAATCATTACTGGCAGACACTTTATATAGTACAGTGAGCAGGTTCAATGCAGTACCTCAATGTTTTGATAGATTTGAAGAAAAAGCAAATCAACAGGATAAAATTTGACTGCATGAGGTGTTTACAAAACCTGACTGCAGACAGCAACAGCCTTTCAGTGACCTCACTGGGCTTGGGTTGTGTTGGGTTCCAGCAAGATGAGAGAGTGCAAGGAGGTATCCTCAAGGATTAAAGAGCTGTGATAGTGAAGGTGTGCACTAGCATGTCTGAGGCCTTCTCACATGATTTACAGCACACACTTGCAAAAGGGGGGATGTAAATTTGTGACTTCTGTTAAATCCATCTGTGACATCTAGAAACAGTAAAAAGTCCATATTCATATGTCAGTAATCTCCCTTTTTTTCCAAACATGACAGCTATTCCAATTTGAAATATGTCACTCCAAAATGTAGTAAACATCACACTAACTACTGCAGTGAATAGATTTTATGTTCAGAAAATATCAACAAAGTTGGAACTTAGTGGCTCTAATATTAAAAAAAAAAAGTAAAAATACGAGGATCTGTCCAGAAGTTTAGTAAAAGCAGAGCTTTTTAAACAAATGCACATGCTGGTGTAAGGTTAAAAGGGCAAGAACAGAATATGAATAAATATATGAGGAAGTGAGAAGATTTCTAACCAAGGCAGCGGGGTTCCCACGGTGGGAGTAGTGGCAACAACAATCCTAGCAGAGTACAGGACACTGCTCAGCTCATCAGCCTGCTCATGTTTCTGCAGTTCCCTGTTCATAATCTGTTTCTTTGATTAAGTGCACCACAGATCTCACACAACACAAGATCCAAGGCCTACATTAATGATGAAAGAGTGCAGGGTGAAAGATATGGGGCTTTCTGATGTGTCCTAAAGGCACCCATGTCATCATCAGAAAGTGCCAGGGACAGAAGTGGTTGGTTACACGACAAACTGCACCAAGCTCAGTGGGATCAGAAACAAGGAATCTCAAGTTGGATTCCCAGAAAAGAACTCACATTTAATTCTCTGTTCAGAAAACCTCTTGAACATTTTAGATGTACATAAATGACCATATTTTTCCTTTTTCTGTGCTCTGTGTCTCAGATAAATTTGCCTCTCCAATAACATAAAAAAAAAGGATCCTACTATACAGAAGTTATTTAATCTGAAAGAAAGTGAGCTCATAGTCATGAAGCTCTTAAACACTGATGGATTATAAACAGCATAAAATATTATGCCTTGTAATAACAACCTTTTCAGAAGACATACACTCATATATTTGTGATATTCAAAGTGTCCTTGAATTAACGGCTTAAACAAATCATTCCCAGTGATACTTGTGGTCCAGTTTGAGACTGTGCTGCCAGTGAAAACATACATGGCATTGGCTGAAAACATATTCACACAAAAGTGGTTTCTTCATCTTCAGCACTCCGATTTGAATGAAACAAGCATAAGTAATAAAGGCTATTAGGCTTCAAAATAATTTCAGATTTGAGTGTATACTTCTTTAATAAATTAATGTATTCTTTTAGAAACACGCATATGATTTTGCAAAACTTCAGGAGCTTTTTAATTTTATTTGTAGAAGAATCCTCCTTCCCTTCACTAAATCCACTTAGATATTTAGTGTAAAGCATGAACTTAAGTCTCTGCATGCTCAGGTCATGATTTTCCACGTGACCATTTCCCTTCAAATGCTGCAAATCAGCTTTTTCATACAGCATAGGATATCCAAAGCCAAAAGAAATCTAAATGCAAGCAAAGTAAATACAGCTTTGTTCTCATTATCTCAATGTCATGAAAACAAAAGGTGGCAATTGCCTTTTTTAGGACAAATGCCAGGATGGTTTTGTCACCTGCCCAAGGTGTGGGGCAGCCCCACAGCACTCAGTCCAGAGTGCTGGAAAAGTCTGTCAGAGGCTCATTGCAGACACAGAATAGGGAAGCTGGTGCCATGGAAGTGATGGATGGTTCCCTGTCGTGAGACTCTGGCTGCTCTGGATTCCATCCTGAGGGTCTGGGTGTCCCCAGTACCTTCCAGGAGGCCCAGGGCATTCCTTATCTCATACTCTGCCTTTCTCTGCAGCGAAAGGGATCAGAAAATCAGTTCTCAGCCCTAATACATTATTGCAGACCTGGGCCCAGGGAATCTCCTCTGCAGCAGAGGGGCTGCTCGGGGTGTTACACTGCCTGCTGCAATGGCCTGAGCAAGGACCACCACTGGAGCAAGGTTTTACCTGGGACTGCTGAGCTGGTACTGTGATCCACCTCTGCTCCTCCATGCAAGCTGTCTGTGGCTCGTGCTTATCACAAAGTCTTATTCACATGCTAAAAATATGTTTTGGATAACACCAAGATACTTCACAATGATTTTCTAACATCTTTGCCTCTCCTACAAATCTGTATTGAACCTTCTCCTTTCCTTACCTCCTCTGCAGTTTTGGTTACATGAGTGCAGTGTCGCATGACAAGATTTTTGGCAGATCAGATTTACAGCAAATTGCTTCACCTCCACGTACACCTGTTAGACTTCAGTTTTTATTTTAGCTTTAGAGAAGTTGCATTTATGATTATGTTTTGACCTAGGATTAGTGTTACTTATATTGGCTCTGCAGGTAGTTTCCTTAGAAAGCCACCACTAGGGCACCGATGGTTCCTGTCTGCATATTTTTCTACAAAACAGGGGTCTTACTCCTCTGATTTCTCTCTGCCACTGCACACCCAGTGGAAACGGCCGAGTGGAGGTGAGAGACGGCTCTCTTCTGTTCACCTGACACCTGAGGCACGACCGAGACCATTACTCACCCCAGCTCCGGGTACCGCTCTGTGATGTAGTTGTAGCACCTTCCCAGGACGACTTCTTGCAGGTTCTTTGTGGTCCCTCTGTCCTTCCACTTGAGCATTTTGGGGCTGTCCTCGTGTTTCCCGTGGGTCAGGAGAGAGGCCAGTACGACGGCGAGGACGAGGGCGGCCAGCAGGAGCACGATGCCCACCAGGAGCACGGTGCGCTGCCGCCTCCGGGCAGAGCCCTGCTGGAACGGCATCGCTGAGGGGCGGCCGCAGCTGCTCCCGCCGCGAGGGACAGGCGGCTTCTGCGGGCACCCCGCCCGGCCGCCCCGGTGCAGCCCAGGAGGCCGGGCTGACCCCGCGCCCCCGGTCACCAGCCGGGACCCGCGGGAGGGCTCGCTGCCGAGCGGGGTCCGGCGGGGCCCGGCCGGGGGGCGCTCGGTGCGGCCGCGTCCCGCCGCCCCCGCCGTGCCGATGGTCTCAGAGCCAAACGAGAGCTTTTCGGAGCGGGAAGGTGAGAGGCTGGCTGTTCTTTGCCCTCTGTTGCTCACTTTGCCCTGACATCCCCGAGTTACGCTTGGGGAAGTTCTCAGAGATAACGCGCACAAGCGAACTCCAGGAAATAATTTGTAAAGCTCCCGGAATCCTTGCGCAAATAACCATCCCTTTGCAGCGGCGTGCTCTGGCTGATGTGTGAGTAAAAGATGAATTCAAGTGACCCCAGTTTGTTTGCTTTAAATTAATTTGTTTGCAAATGACAGGTGTTGAGTCTGACTTCACTGAAGGCAAGAAGGCAACTACCAACTTTGCAGTGGCCATAAAAACATAGTTCATCATCACACAATGGGTTATTTTACTTCTCTCCCTTGCCCATAGGCTCGGATTAGTTGTCAAATTAATTCTAAGACAAGTCTGTCATCTAAGAAGTATTAAGTGTTCTCTGCAAGAGGAAGTTAGTTCCTTCTTGTCCTCTCCAAATAGGGCGATTCTACTTCCTTAGTCAAAAAACCAACACAAAATAAGACTCAAATCTCAAAATCTAAACAAAAGAAGCTATGCAGTGTCAGAATGTTAACTATAAATTATTAATAAATTTTTAACTATTGCTTACCAAGAATCTGTCTTTAACAGACTATCTAAAAAAGGACTTTCATAACACATCTCAGTCAGGCCTAAGCAGTTCTGAAAGAACTGAGAAATGCTGTGCTCTAACCAAAGCTTGCATTGGCAAGTGGTCTGCTAAGGACATGATATGAATTTTTCTGATCCTGTTTTCCCAGAAATCATGCAAACTTTGCAGAATTGAAACCTCTGTTTTGAAGTGACATACCAAGCTGTCAGACCCGAAGTGGTCAGCTAGTTACAACAGTGTCATCTCTTCATAAGAGAGATAACAACTGTTCTCTCTTTATGACACTGCTTGTTGCAGGAAGATCTGTAGGGGACAGGTCAGAAAGAATTAGTTCATAATGGAAGTTTTCTCCCATCTTCCTGTCAGTAAGCACATGGGTTTTGCCTTGGCAGGTTTGGTTGATTGATCTTTACTTGTTCCTGGTTTTTATCATCCTGTAAATATGACCATAAGGTATTCACAACTGAACTTTGTGGTACTTTATTATATACAAGAGAGGTTCTTGAATTTGGTTTATTTTTCCATTTTTTTTTTAAAGTGTTTTTGACTTGTGCTTTTTAGTTTCATTATCTAAGCAAATACCGTGTTGGAAAAATCAGCTAGTTAACCTAAGCAGTTTATGCAGTAACGCTGCAGTCTCTGCTTGCTCTGGGTGTTGAACATATATAGCTTCAGTAAGTCCAAGAGTCACTTTTAGAGTGGAACGGTGGAATAATTAATTTAAAATTTAAAACTCTTAAACCTCACTATTTTTCAGTAGCCTGATTTGTGCAAACTTTTTTCCTTCTCATTGATTCACCAAGAATGAATAAATAAATAAGGTGAGTGTGGACTCAGTGGCTCTGGGAGGTGCCCTCACTGCTGATTTGGTAACACCTCAAACTACATAAGGAGTGTCAGAGACAAGTAAATGTTAAGCCTCCTTTCAGCTATCCTTGGCAGCCTAATCAAGATGAATAAATAGGACAAGCAGAACTGAGCAAGCAGCAGAAATGACAGTAAAAACACATACTCCCAGTGCTTCAGAAGACAGTATAGTTTCCCAATATGAATGTGAGCATGAAATCACTCCTTGCAAACTTTCTGGCCCTAGAGTATTTCCACGAGAGGCATAATTAAGATAATAACACTGCCTCAGCAAAGAAGAGATGAAAGAGTATTCCCTGAATGGGATGGGAGGGAAGAACAGAAGATAAAGTGAAATGAGGAACAACAAAGGGAGGTGAAAAGCAGTGTGTTTTGCAAGGGTCTTGCATCCCCTTAGGTCTCTGGAGTGAGCTGGATTTCACTTCTTTCCTAAACAGACAACCTTAAGCTGTCTGACTTTATTCCACAGGAATTTATTTCTGTAGGAAGTCCAAATTTAGGATTTCCCCTGCGATTGCAGTATAGGGCTCATGGATCTGTATTCCTCTTGAACTGTTTTGCCAGTGTTTATTTTTGCATTCTATAAGGAAAATCACAGTTTTTGAAAGCACTGTATCTCATAAACTGATAGCCAAGTTTTGGAGTCCTCTAAGCCGTGTGAATTTCCAAGATAACAAATCTAAACTAATCTTATCAAGGTGTGTGCACTTTTTTGACAGCCTTTACACTAAATCTTTGTGTGAGGTGATTAGAAAGTGGGTATAAAAGATCAGAAGACAGAAATATTTCAGGAACCTAATTGCCAGCCTCTTCTTTTACACTATGTGTTGCAGCAGAGAACTTGAAAAGAATGGGCCTGTATTACATACAATTTATCAGGCAGCATAGGAGTATTGTAAGAGAAAAGCAGCAAGCTCCCACTTGCTACCTGCAAGTTCTCTGGATGGTATTTTTGAGGCAACTAGGGATAACAGATTATCCACCAGCTATTCCCAAGGTCTGATCACTCTGATTTATCTTTTTCTTTTTTTACTGTCAAATGTAGATAGTTCTGGCACCCAAAGCATGGCTGAGGACAGAAAAAATCCTTCATGGTAGAAACTGCTGGTTTCTAGAAAAGGTGGTGTGCAGCCGGTGGGACTAATCTTTCCAAAATAACCACAATATTCACAGTGCTATTAAACACTCCCAGTCTTGTGGACACCTGTAATTACTGGGTGTTGCTTCTAAGCAGAACTTATGAATGAGAAAATTTGATCTGAAAAGAACAGAAGCTGTTATAATAATTAAAGAAATTATATCTTTCCTGGCTTTTCTTGGAATGGCAGTGACTTCTCATCAGTGACAGTCATCTTCTCATTGCTTCCCAATTTCACAGGGCAAATGCTGTCGTAACATTTAGAGAAGGTTTGAGATGAACACTGAAAATAAAGTGATAAATAAGGAACAAGGAAACCAGCTAGCACAAAGTGACAGCTGTGAAGAGTGTGCCATTTCTAACCAAACACAATAGCTCCTGTGAAAAAAGCCTTTTTAACTCACTGTATGGGCATCCAGTTCAGCTCTCCTTTCTTTCACCTCCTCTGCAGGCACTGCAAAAATGTAAATTATCTTGGTGAGCTGGATATATGAGTTATTCAACCTGTAAGTTTTTCTGTGTTTTCTTGGTGGCAGCTCCCACTGCACCTAACCTAGAGCTACAGGTGGACAAAGAGATTGACAGACAACGGTGCCTTAACTGTGAACTTGCACTGGTGACCATCTAAAGGACATGAAAAACATCCCATTTGTGTCTTCTGCAGAGCTATATCTGTTGCTGTGAACACAGGCTGCATGTCTTCTTCAGCATGGTGGTATTGTCTTGATCACTTTGTTGTTACACTTACAGCTCTTCAAACCTCTGAGATTTCAGTTCTGAACTCTTCTTCTAGTTATCCTGAAAAATTGTAGAGAAATTAGTTGTGCACCGGTCATCAAAACAAAGAATGCTTTTTATGTATGTGTGGGCATTTACAGTGACTCATTGCTACTGCATTTTGTGTTAGGGGTGCTCCTGAACTATTTTGTTGGGAAAATCAGTAATTTCTTCATTGCTTCCTGTCGCTGAGTCACTAATGGACACTTCTGAACTTGCTAATACACTCATGTTTAAACACCCAGGACTTTTCAGTGCAAACAGAAACACCACTAGATCTTAGGCATCCTTATATTTAAGAATTATTGGATAGAAAGTGGTGTGAAACTACTTTCTCAAGCCCAGATACTTATGTTATTCATAAATGGGACTTTGCACTCTCTGGGTGTTCTGAATATGGCCACTTTATTCTTATTTTTACTGCAAGTAAGGATATCATGATCAGGAGAAGTAGAGGGATGTACTGTTGCCATTACCTGCTGTTGTACACGTTACCACTTGGGTAGGAGATACACCATGTCTCATCACTGTTATCACTGCATCTAGTTGTGGATGCATGCACATTGCTCCACGCTGATGGCACCTTTTGGGGTTAACCCCCATTACAGCATGTAGGTTTGAAACTGCAAAGTCATCCAGGCTGTTTCAAGCACAAGTCCTCTGTGGAGTGCAACAGGCAAGAGCAGACCCACCTGACCTGTTAGGTTAATGGTTGGACTCAATGATCTCAGAGGATTTTTCCAATCTGAATGATTCTGTGATTCTTTTGCTCTATGACAGAGCAAAAGGTTTGAGCTGCCAGATCTGGGGTGCAGGAAATCATCCTGGAAAATGGCACTGATGAGTCACTATTTGTAGTTTACCCACTACAGGCTGCTGGGGCTTTCCATCTCTTTCATCTATATCACTTGTAAGCAGCCTGTTTTTCCATGTGGAAGTGAATTCATTTTGTTTCATGTGTTGCTGAGGGGTTTGAGTGAGGAGAGTGCTAGATCAGCCTGTGCTGACAAGCACAATGCCTGTCTCCTCTCAATAATGCAGCCTGCTCTCTCAACTGGAACGTACTATTCTTTTCCTATGCATTCTCATACAAGGAGAGTGTGGGAGGACCAAATGTCACCACTGTGCCTCATAGCTTTTGTTGGTGACCTTTTTACTACCCTACATGCACCTCTGGCTGTATGTGGTGAGATTGCTTCTTATCTTAGGATCCGTACAGGAAGTTGAGCATATAAGAAAGAAGTAATGATACAGATAAAATCTAACAAATATGATAGTGTTTCTGCTTTCTGTGTAAATAATGTGGAGAAACACACACATAAAGAGCTTAATGTTGGACTGCACCCCAAGGCTGATGAACCAATTATGAATTA